TTCCTAAGAGATATTTCGGAACTGGGGAAGAGACGCTGGCCCCACGCTGCTCTAATAGCGGACTTTTCAGTATCTTCCAAAAATTTTTGCATAAAAATAATTCACCCACTTCTTCTATGGGTTTAAAGTGATATAAATATAGATAAAAATACCGATATAATATTTACCAACACAAAGCAGATATCGATTATCGAATACATTTTACAATTTTATCTATAGATATATCGATATTTTATTACTTAAAAGAAATAATTAAGCACATTTGGAATCAAATTGTATTTATTAAATAAAACTACATATGCCACTATTAAGTATTTATTAATCGACCCTAAAAATTGTAATTTGTTTGGCCTCTTGCCATGGAATCCATTTCTGGTCTGGGTGACCGTCACTCCTGCTTTTGAAAAAAGCCAGACGTTCGGCAAGCAGAAGAAGCAACAACATGCAATCAACTCATGGCAATTTAGAAAGAAATAATTGGGTATAATCTCTGCTATTCTTGTCTACAGTATCATCGCGTCGTTAATAGTATTTTCAATATCAATAACATCGTTTCGGCAATGTTGAATTAAACATTCGATTTTTTAGATATAATCAGTGGGCCGATCGTTGCAAACCGCAGCCGGCGGTTACTATCCCTCTCCGCCACACTTTGCAGACCAGCGATGGGGAGCAGTATCAATAATGACGAGGCCTTTCCTTCTGCGATCGTCAATCTTGCCAATCGCGACGAATAAAACAAATTCTCGCAACAACAACAGAAGCGCATGACTAGCTTTTTTTTTAAATATAAGATTTACTTTCGAAATAATACCTTAGTGATTGTGCACGTTGAAATGCGAAGTTATTTTGTTGTCCGCGGTGGTGAGTTTGGCTCGGCATCCTTTATAAGATTTAACACATGCCCACCGTATCTTACGATTTTCAATACTGCAATATTTCCTATTATATCTATTGCCTTTGAATAAAATAGACGGACGGCCGAGCTGAGAAAAAGTGAAGACTGGCTCTGAAAACACCGTTATTTTTTTAAAGAAATATATCTTTAAATAAATATATGCACATTTTATTTATTACATGTCTTTGTAATCTTAAGCTTCAACCCTTTCTTAAATGAGTACCCTACACTAAGGAAAGGTTATTTATTCAATATATAAAGTACCAGGGCGGCTGTTTTTCAATCGATGTTTTGTAAAAAAAATATATATTTTCTTCAAGAATGACATTATATATTGTCCTGTATTTTTTTTCTCAAATAAAATATTATCCTAATAACATCCTATGACATTAAAGAAAAAATAAATAAAATTATTCTAAAAATGTTACTTTAATGAATATTAATAGCCATTACCAAAATGACGTAATTAAATTATCTCATTTTACATAACCAAACACAAACATTGTTTTTGGCGTATTTTATTATCATCAGATTATGAATTCGATTGATTAGGAGAACAACGATTGATTAAAATAATTCTACAAAAATTCTTTGTACCGTATCGCAAATAATGTGCATGTATCTTTGCCACGGTGTCCTTAGGTATGCCGTGCAGTAGCACAGGGCTTCTCAAAATAGTCGTAAGGAATCCCGTCAAGATTTCTGAGTACGTTATAGCTTCTGACTGGGCCATACGTGCTAGACGCATGGTGGTGCACGCCATTTGTTGTATTACTATAATCTATGCACGGAACAAGTATTTGTATGACCTAAAAGTAATTGTTACGGGTCTGGATGTTCATCCTAGTGAAATTTATGTTTGTAAACTGCCCCCACGATACAGTAGAAAATCATAGTGTGGAAGTAAAGTGTTTTAATAAAAAAAAGAATGTCTCAAAAAGTCCACGTATTTGCTCAATATTTAAATTAATCCAAAAGTTCTATACATGAAAATTTACGTTTAATGGTTGTGGTTATCGTGATACTTGATAATGACTTCATCGTAGGTCCAAAGCTTCGCTCGGCACCCCTTATGGTCCTTGATACAAATCCAACGAGCTTTCGCTCCTGTGCTGCCGCTCCATTTGCTAAATCTATAGTTTCCTATTTGAATAACGGGGTTTCCGAACCGCGATGTCAAGAAGACTGCCTCTGGAAAGTGGAAATCATGGTGCGAGTTGGAGAAACCTTTTAAAATCCCATTTTTTAACAAGATATAAACATTGATTTTTCTCCTGTTACGATACGGGGGCAGACGTCATAAAAAAAAAGAAAATGAACGTAGAAACTTTAATGCGTATGCTTTAAGAAGCGTTTGATAATAACATTGTCGAAAGTGAAAATCTTGGCCCTGCAACCAGATGAGGTTTTGTAGCAGATCCAACGAACGCGCCTGCCCCTGCTGGCTGTTGATTTGTTGTAACGGTGGGAACCTAATACAAGAACTGGTCGCCCTGTACGGGACAAGGTAAATGTCGGTGTTCCTGCAAATTAAATTATTTTAGAGACTATATTTCCTAAGCAATTGTTTTAACGTAAGACGTGCTATCATTTGTGGTGTAAAGAATAAAATAAATTTTAGTATTTTTTATTTGTTTCGTGTTTATTTTCCGGATTCTAGAGCTCCATAAATAATAAGGTGCGTTGGGATAATACCGGACGATTTTCGACTAGTTAAAAGAGTCGGGCAAAAACTTTATTTTCTTGACATCCGTATACGTCGGATTTCTGAAACATGCCGCAAATCGTTAATTAGTATAACACGTAATTTAGCTAATTGGCCATCAAGGAATAAGACCGGACGTCGCTAAAAATCTCAAATAAAAGTGATAGGGAAAGACCGGACGGACGAAAAAATTACAAAAATTACCTTGTTTTATAAAATACTGCGCAACACACGCCCTACTTTGCGGAGCGACTTGCTGAAACTTGGTGTCGGGGCAGAATAAAATGGAGTCTTGTACCATATTGCTAGCTTTCAAAAATATAGCATAATTCACCGGAAATTTGAATTTTACGTTCTTACCCCATCACCGATCTTACCCCAATGGACAATACTTCTCCGTCGGCAGTTATTGGACTGTTCACTAGACAGTTTTTAAAATCTATACGTATAAATAAAATTAAAGTTTCTGTCTATAATATCGAAATAACTAAGCTAATGGGGATTTTTACACGCTATTAATTTTTTTATTACTTATAAATTTTTATTAATTGATTTAAATACATACATAAACACTTATTGCTCGGTTTATCGACGTCATCGTTTATCGTCACAAGTTTATCGACTAAATTGGCAATACATATATTGAAAATGGGCCAAATTAGGAGTATCTTTAACCGACGAGCATGTATGCGTAGGTATATGGATGTGGAGGAGGCCAAAGAGGTGTGTCAGGAATTAGGATCGTGCCAAATAGAAGTATGTATTCTCTGCCTACCCCTCTGGGTGACAGGCGTGAGTGTTTATGTTTTAAATGTAAATGTATTAATTAATTTATTATTAACTTATTTTAAATTGAAATATGTGTAAAAAAATCTTGCTAGTTCTTCCCAGTACAGAGGTTTTTCTTCTGAACCAGTGGTAAATAAAAAAATGACTTTCAAAAGTATTATACAATAATCTATATTGAACAAAATCTTTCATTTCATTCGTATCATTCGTTTCGTTCGTTTCATTCTTTTCATTAGTTTCATTCGTTACATTCGTTTAATTTTATTTCATTTAATTTCAATATTAAGACATGAATAACCAATTTTTTTAATGTTTGTTTCTCTGTCCGGGTTAATTAAAAAAAAAGCTAAGTAATAAAACTTCATAAACAGATACAGAGCAATGCTAGGAGAGTTCCAGGGTGAAGAGCCGCGCTGACAGAAACAGCTCAGGTCCCTAAACTTTATAACTACAGCCTCTGCAGTACAAAACTTTAACGGTACCTACTCATTAACGGTACAAATTTTTCTCGGGATTTGTATTGAACTCGGTTTAGTATCCTTCTCCTAATCAAATAAAAATCTATGCTAGATCTTTATTTTTCAACCAGCTTCAAAAAGGGAGAAGGTTCCCAATTCGAGAGTAACTTTTTTCTACATGAACCGATTATGATGATTCTTTTTTTTATTTGAAAGCTGGCTTTATAAATTTGATCAAGATCTGACCAGTAGTTTTTGATTTGTCCTTAATTATTCGTATTTAACTCACTTCGATCACATTTATAATGTTCTCATTTTATTTACGCTTATTATGATGCAAGATTACTAATGCGATGTATTTTGTAAAACTTGTTAGAGGTTTTGACGTTATTCCTATTTTGACGGTAAGTATTTATGGCTAATAATAACAATCAAATAATATTTAATTACACACACGGGTATACAAAAATTTAGATGTCTATGGGCCGCAGCATCCATCTACCATCAGGTGGTCTGTGTGGTCATTTGCCGGCCTTAAAAATCTGCAAGCTAACACTTTTATTTTTAAGGCAGTTTTTTAAAAGATTATTATATAAAATATCGGTACCTTAGTCTGAAAAAAAAATATAGCTTCTTTATAAAATTTATTTCAATAATCAACTTGGAATAAACACAAACACAAACTTCTGAACATATTGAAAAAGTTTAAGAAAAGAAAAGACACCCTCAGTGCTTGTGAAAGAAAAAAACAACAACGAAAAGTTATTTGAATTTCAAAGACGTTTCCACTATTTTTGAAACAAGTAAACGTAACGTACATTTGGCGATTGAGACACAGCGAGATTACATGCAGCAACTCAAACGTAACGTTTGCCACCCCATCGACATATAGGTTCTTAATTTTATACACAAATAGCAACTGGACGTACAACAATACATTATTGTAAAACGCCTTTATAAAACTAGACCGCCATTTAATGTGCTACATTTATTATGAGCTAATCTCGAAACTGTCTTTTCCACATTTCTATTAAATTATAGAATTAGATTTGCAATTTTCTGTCGCTGTCGTTATAAAAGCTATATTTTTTAATAATTAATTAACTTTTATTTATTTTATTTAACTGTGTAATTTTGGGTACACATTTTTCTACTCTTCCCGTGTTTTGCGTTTTCTTTGATCTTCACATCTAGCAACACGAATATTTCGTTTAAATCTTCTCCATTCCCTTCGTTTAATAGTTTTTTCAACTTCGTTAAGTTGATTTACAGGTCGATACTTCATTTTAGTTCTCAACAAATTCTTTTTGCGCATTTCTTCCCATTTCTCCGGATTAACCAATTTTAAACGTTCTCTGTATCGTCGTTGTCGTTCCGCGGCGGTTAATGGCCTCTTCCCTAAAATAAATAATCACCTAATTTGTTAAATACATCATTGTGTAATTTGCCTTATTCATTGAACGGTGTCATTTAGTATGTAGGTAAGACTAAAGCGGACAAAAAAAACAGTTTGAAAGTTTAAAAATTACGCGAATTTGACAAAAAAATTACGGTTAAATCTATCACATCCGTATGCAACATTAGAATATTTTCAGGATTTCATATTTATGACGTAAGTGGCACATTTTATATATATTAAGGGTAAAAAGCAAGCACACAGTTTATCTGATGGTAAGTGGATGCTATGTTCCATAGACATTAACATCTATCCTCGATTAAGAACCAAAATGTAAACGCTTTGCACCCTTGAAGACTAAGATGAAATCCCTTGTTTCTAGTTAAAATAATCTCCGTCTCTCTACTATACCACGCGAAACACATATGATATGACAAGAATAAAATCATATTTAGATAGGGCGAATTTGAAATAATATTTTTAGACAAACCAAAATATTTACTTTCATCGCGTTTTGTTTCAAATAAAACTATTATTAACAATGTCTTACAATTCGTACAGTTTACATCAAACAAAGTAACAAATTAGACAGACAATGTTCGTTGAGAAAGTTACAGACAAATTATACTGGCAACTCAATGGTTGTGCTCTCGAGAGAACTTGATTATTTCATCATCCAGCGTGATAATGACAGCCCGACAGCCATAGCAGGCCTTCACACATACCCAGCGCGCCCGGGGCCCCTTACTTCCACTCCATTTATTAAACCGGTAAATACCCATTTGTATAGCAGGCTTACCGAAACGCGACGTCGTGAATATCGGTTGAGAATCTAAAAGAAATATTATATAATATATTCTTTAAAGCAACAACTAAACAATCATCAAAAAACAAAAAAGTTTAATTTTATCTTAATGTATGAAACAATGCTTGTGATTCTTTCCTTGAGACAAAAAAAGACAAGAATAAAAATAAAAATTTTATTCACATAAATATTTATATAGTATATTCGTAAATTAAATTAATACTAGCTGCTGTTAAACGGTGGCTGAAGCAGACTATTTAAACTATTTTAAATGCATAAAAGCCGATATATCACAATTCTAAATATTTAATCTTATTAATTAAATGTTATCTGACTAATTGCACATCGAATACCTACGTTTAGAGAATAAGATTTATACATGCGTTGATAAAAAAGTTTATCACTGATATAATAATTTATAATAAAAATGCGTTTAATTTAGAGTTCCACATTAATAACAACATGTATTTAGTAGTTTTTATTTATTAGTTAGCTATGCCTAGTTTCTATTTGGCCTTAAACAAAGCTGACACACTTTGAAAACTAAAGGATTACACTGGTGATTTTTTTTACCGTCTGGAAAAAATAGGGTGCAACAGGTGAATGGAATAGAAGCCTATGTCACTGATATTTTACATTTTTTTAATTTTACATTAACATATTATGAAATTGATCTGCCATTTTAATCCGTTCACCTGTTACACCCTAGTTTTTCTAGACGGTAAAAAAAATTAGCTAGTATACTTTACAGACAATGATTGTAAACGATTTATACAAAAAGAAAAGGTAATAAGAACTAATAAACATAAACATGAAAAAAAATTCGTCCGTAACTGTATATGTGTAAGATTATCCACAAGCCCATATCGTCCCACTAGTATCGTAAGAGGCGAAAGAGGACTCAAACCGGGAGATGGCCGTCTTCCTAATAATATAAAACTGCGGTTGCCAACCCGCGCCTGCTAAGCTTGTGAATCAATCCATGGTGAGGCCAATTGGAACAGCAGTGGACATTTATAGGCTGTATTGAATGAAATATAATTGAAAATTAGATATCCAACTCAGCAAAATGCTGCGAGACCTGCAGCGCTTGGTGCTGAAATACAAGCATACATCTTCATCACACATGTATACACTGTGACACTTCACTTTTACTACTGAGGTTAACTATATGTAAAACTTTCTTTCCTAGCGGTTCAAGAGGCAAATGTGCCGGGATTTTTAAATGTCAGGTACCTTATTTACGTTATAAATGATTTTTAAAGCCAAGTGACTCGCTTGGGGAATATTCTGAATCTACATATATATCTACAAGACGGTAAAGTTCATAGTCTGCTAAGAATTCCATCTGCTTTGGTACCGCCTTCTACAGTGTCTCGATTTGTAGTCAATACATGTAAGTGACAACCCATCTGTAGCCCACTTTGATTGAAATTGGTAGCAAGTGTAGTACATATGCTGCAGTAGACATTCACAATCAGGTAAACTACTCGTTAGTCAATAGTTTGTCATTGAGTACCTTAGATAATCTGCGATCTTCACTAAGGAAGACTGGACTAATCCTTCTACCGTGACTGATGAGTGATGATAATGAAATAATATCTCTGAGCGTAAACTCGTTTTCTTACATTACGCAATTAGAGTTCAACCTCCACCGGAAGTAAGTTAATTGTAATGAAGACATACCAGATGTTGCAAGTTGAAATTAAGGTGAACTTATTTGTCAGGCAGGTCGTTACATAGTGTCATCACCATCATTGAAAATTTGCGATTTAATAACAAGTTTTTTTTATTTATTTCTTGTGTACGTATAACGTATATACACGAAACAATGCCTTAATACTGAATTCTTTATTTTTTTTATATATTATTAACTTAATTCTTCTACTTTTCGGAATATTTGTAGTTTGATTTGTCCATTTTTAACTTAATTAATATGAAATATACCTAATATTTTAGACAGAAACCTTAACTTCTAAACTTTTCTAACAAATTAACTTGCCCCGCTATAAAATCTGTCAAATATTTCACCTCATTCCTAAATGGCACCATTCTGGCGGCAGATAAATTCGTGGATTGTAATTGTAAAAGATTGTAAATGTCAATTTGAGAACATAATACGAAAACCTGGTAGTGGCTACATTATATTTATTATTAAACTTTCAACGAAATTATTTTAGTTTTGCTAGCCTTTAAATTACTGCAGATTCAGCTTTATTATTATTGTATTAAATTCTATGTGTACGCCGTGTGGTAGCGGAGTTCACACACAATTCATTACTATATTCCAAACCATGAGTGTATGGATAAATAAATCAGGAGGTGGACAGCAGTATCTTCCTGGTAACCAAATAACTGATTTTTATTAGGATAGGCTGACAAACGAGCACACAGCCCACCTGATGGTAAGTGGTTGCTGTGGCCCATAGACATCTACATCTATCTTCGATTACGAATCAAAATGCAGATGCGTTGTCACCCGTGAGGACTATGATGGAATGCCTCGTTTCCAGTGAAAAGGGTCTCCAGTTCTCTACACTTACCATACGAAACACAGCAGCATTAAGCCGCTATTTGACGCTGGTATTCTGTGAGAGCGTGGTCCTTTCCCGGTCGAGCCGACCCATTCATGCTACAACTATACTACTAATATAACTGCAGCATGGCTCTACCACGTATAAAATGTTGTGATTGCCAACCTGCTTGCCAAGCTAAATCTTTGGGGCATAGATTTCACTTGGCCTAATTTTTTAATTGGAATAAACATAGCCCCCATATTCAGCAGTGTACTTTTGATATACTGTAAAGTTTATAATGATGATAATGGCACTTTATGTATTTTTGGCTATTTATATCATTTAAAAAAAATATCAAAACAATACCAATCAATACTTTAAAGACTAAAACGTCTTCCTCTGTCTATTCATGTTGCACATAATTTGTTTCGCTATTTATTGTATAGGTAATAAGATCTAAAACATCTAGATATCGAATAAATAAACTATTATTACTCATACATTTAAGTTAGCAATAGTAATACTGTCGAAATTAACTATATATACCAATATAGGTATATTGGTATATAATATAGGTATAACTTTAATAAAATAATCATCCACAAAACTTAGTTGTTGTTTAAATCAATCTGAATTAACCAAGGTATTAAAGTCATACTGTATAAAATCCAGATGTAAATTCCATGGCAAACCATCTTAAGACCTAGGAGATTTCTTAATTAAATAGTTGCAGAGGAATCACGCATGAGTATGAAAGTTCTTCGCCTTAATAATAACGTTGTCGTAAGTAGTAATGGTGGCACGGCATCCATTCTGGTTCTTGACGCAGGTCCAGCGGGTGTGGTGGCCCTTACTGTAGCTCCATCTGTTGTAACGATAGTTGCCCAGCACCATCACCGGATTGCCGTAACGCGTCTTCTCAAACCTTAATTTCATACCTATGAAACATGTAATAAAAATAATAATTTATTAAACGGTGAAAGAATTCTTTTAGTAATTTAGACTGCTTATTGGAATTATTTTAAACATAAGCAGGACGATTAGAGAATTACAATATTACGGATAAAATAAATAAAACTGTTTTATTGATAGATTTTTTACTAAATACAATATAGTTAGGTTTTTCATTAAACGCCGTGTTATAATCCCCGTAAGTAAAATAGAATAAAAGTTAAATAAATTAAAGTGCCGACCCTAAGCCCAGGCAAATTTGCTTGATTTACCTGGGCTTAGGGTCAGTTCACACAGTGGTTCCGTACCGCGAAGCACGACGCAGCGAGACGCAACGGGACATCGCGAGGTGCGTTGTAAAGTCGCTGGCAGCGCGAAATTGATAGAGACAAGTCGCCGCGAAGGCTTCACGCCGCGCCGCTCCTGCTCCTGCAAATTGCGCTAACCGACGAAGCACCGCTGCATCATGATGCGTTGAGCTACGCCGTAAGGCAGATCCAGGCGCGGCGCGGAGTATCTTCTCATTATCTCGATAAAATGTGTATCTTTTTGTATAGTAAATAAAGTTATAACTTGTATCACTATCTATATATCTAAAACGTGCGAGCCGTGTCGCGTCGCGTCACTTCTTGGTGTGAACTGACCCTTAACCGATCCGAAAATCAATACATAACTTGTTTTTGTGGCCAATTTTTGAAACGTGACTTTAACAGCTTGGTATGCTGTTAAATCAGCTTAAAGTGCTTATATTTAGATTTATAACGATAATAAATATCAAAGAAACTTTCATTTACATTAATCATGGTTGTGTTCATATTTCAAAAAGTTATATTTTCCATCGTCATATGTAACAAGCCTTGCAGGACAGCCACGGGAGCGAGCCTTGGTACACACCCAGCTCCCTCTGGGACCTGTGCTGTCACTTCTTCGGTAATATCTATAGTTTCCTACTTGCATCAGTGTCTTCCCAAACTTTGACATTAAGTATATTGGTTCTGGAAATACAGTTTACAATACGGTAAATCAGCAATTGAAATTAATTACTTCACGGCTACATTTCAGGTACCACTTTGCGTTGCACAACCAACGCTCACTTAGTTAAATCCGTAAATACTTCACGAAATACTTCTGTGGCAGCATTGAAGACTTGAACTACTTCGCTTTGAAGTTCATGCAATTGTCGTCATAGTTACAGCTTCGGCTCTCTTTCTCATATGGTGGTACAACAATGTGAGAGCTTTTAAAGATTTAAAATATAGAAAAGAAGAAACCGTCGCTTAAGAAGATGGTGGATGATATCACTTCATCGTAATAGAATTTTGTAGATACCTGCATACTTTAAATTTATATTGTTTACACACGTGTAAAATATTTTTTATATATACGAGTTTATAATATGTGTTACAGTAAAAATGCTTTTCCGGTCAAAAGTAGTTTTGATCGAATAAAATATTGGTTAATAGAAATTTTGACTGAAAACTATCGGTTAAGAGTAGTATTGACCAAAGCCTGCAATCAAAAGCATTTTGTTAACGGCCAAACTCCATAAACTCGTATTACTTTTTCAAAGAAATCGACGAAATTCCCACTAAAGCAGTCAAAATAGCTTTAACAGGCTTCGGTCAAAAATAGTTTTGACCGGGAAAGAGACTCTGACTGACCATCTATTGGATCCTGTCGCCCATAGACATCTATTTTCCTCGATTAAGAATACATTTATCCTTCATTAAGAATCAAAATGCAGATGTGTTGTCACCCCTGAGGACTAAGATGGAATGCCTCGTTTCCAGTAGAAAAGGGTCTCCGGATCTCTACACTCACCATACAGCAGTATCAAACTGCTATTTTACGCTGGTATTTTGTGAGAGCGTGGTCTTTCCCCGGTCTAGTCGACTCTTTCGTGCTACAAACATTTGCAACTGCAACATCTTACTTATATTTTAATTTATAAGTGAATAAATTTAATAATCAGAAAGATTTATTTATGCTACATGTTATATTTAAACATTAAGTGAAAGTGTTTAATGAAAATTGTCTTTTGGTTTAGCGGGTAAGAGCCCAAATAATTACAAGCAGTAAAGCATTTTATCGTCCGACATTGTACTCAAGACCTCCTGGTTTTGTAATCGATATCTATGGGATTTTGCTAATAATTTTACCACACACTTATTGAAGCATCTTAAGTGCCTAAGTAGTTGAATAATGTATATTATAAGGTTCTATAAAACGGTTATTCATAAGATCGACTTAAATATGTACCATTTTTAGAATAAGTGCCCAACAGATTATAAAGACACGTTTTTAATACTAGCAATTCTATTAACAATATTAATATTCCCATTAACCAGTCTATCATGCTACCATAAAGTTATTGTCGCAATTAATTTACTTTTCAAGGACTGTTAGATTAAAAACCGTATATACAAATGGTATCATCGATCATTTAATTGTAGTTCTTTGGGTACTCGTACAATAGTTAATAGACCAGTACATCATTATGAGTTATGGCATAGTAATTAATGATTGTGCACATTGTTAACCTTGATTATTTCATCGTGTATAGTAATCAGGGTTGCTCTACAGCCGGTGGAGACCTTTACGCAAGTCCAACCACTTCTGGGTCCCTTACTGTCGCTGCGTTTATTGAAACGATACCTTCCACATTGTATCACTGGCTTTCCGAACCTCGATGTTGAAAACACGAACTGATCATCGGCTTCTAAAACAAAACCATTATAGCATCGCCATAAATGTTTTTATCTGAAACAAATTTATTTACGGCGAACATTAAACTCTCTCAAAAACGAGAGAAGGACCGTGACCAACTGTGTAACTCAGCTTCGGCTTGGTAGTGTAGTGGCTGAATGCCTGATCTTGGCGGCGCAGACAATTGGTTCGAATCCAGAACCAAGTGTACCAAACTCTGAATGTTTGTTAAAGCGCAATTAATGTATATAAAACGCCTCAACGTTGGACATTGTTATAGCTATCATGTAACTGCTAAGGAGCTTGGTATCCTTTTCACATTTTGGTTTAATGTGGGATTTAATTTTTAACATTTATTACTCGAATTCATAAATTTAATATCATAATTTAATAAAGATTAAGAGCAGCAAATTCACACCAAACATAAGAAAGCTGACATCTACACACATAACATTTAGCTGAAGTATTAAGGCAGACATTTTGCGTGCATATCGAGCACGCTCTCGTTATGCAACGTTTATACTTTAGATACTCGCTTGGTTCGTTCGAACTCGAACATCGTTCCATGAACACACATTAGTACTTACAAATCAACTTTATTCAAAATAAATTTTGTATAACATGTATAATGTATAACTCAAGCAGCCGACTGACGCTATTGTATGTACGCATCGCATGAGTTCACAAAGATAAATATGCAGCTCGAACACCTTTTCTCGAAATAGAATATTTTGTATTTGACGGTAACAATAACTTTGTGTTTCCATGCACCCATGCAAAAGTGTGTCCGATTTTAGCGACTGGCGAAGACAGAGGCGCGATAAACAACAGAGTTTTGTTTCATTTTAATCAGCAGCGTTTCTTGTTCTCGTCGCGTAGTAACTTATGTTAGTATAACTTAGGTTTTAATTACCAGTAGGTAGTCGGGCCCTACAGCCTGTTTCATTGGCTATTAACGAACCGTTAAGGCATTGTGGTTTTGTGATAAAAAGAAATACATTTTCGTTTATTTATTTTTAAATTTATTTATCCGAACATGCGACAATCGCATCGCTGATATCACGAGGTATTCTCGGATTACTTTCTATTAGGATAAGTCGCGTCCGTAAAGAGCGTTCAGCGGGGCAGGCAGTGTGCATGAAAAATACTCGCTATTGCACTCGTATGTCAGTGTTTTTAATACTTCACTACGTCAATTACAAGTCACTGTAATAGAAGAGTCGAAAACTGTTCTACACTAATTACTAAAAATTATCAATTGCTTCATTTAGATAGTCTCTTTTGAGAAAATGCAATTTTACAATCACATCTCTAAAAATTCATATATTGCCACAATCAGATATGAAATTAACAAAAAAAGTTTTAAATACGTATGTCATAAATAACAACTTTAAAGTAAATCAATATATTAAGTACAATATGTGGAAATAACTTGTTATTGTGTATATTGTATATTGATAAAACAAAATTTAAAAAATATATTATTAGGAATTGGACATTGTGTTGACTTGACATTGATAAAAAACATAGCACAAAAAACCCCAGGATTTCCTGCCACTTCTCTGAGAAGGTTTTGTTTTTGGGAACCGGTGTAAATTATGAGGTTCTTAAATAAACATAAATTGAATTAAAAAATGACTTTATCTTTGTCTGAGCGCCTTAACGTAGGCTCAGTGGTTATGGCTGTGTAATATTCTCATGATTGTGTCTTCAAAAGTTATAATAGTAGCCTTACAGCCATACTTGGCCCTGACACAGTTCCACCTTAACTTTGGGCCTTTACTGGAGCTATGACGATTAAATCTGTATCCACCAAAACAAAGAGCTCGACCGCCACGACGGGAATCTTCAAATCGAGGAGCACAATCTAAAATTCAAAAGCTTTCTTAATTTACAGTTTTTAATTGCATTTCATTTCAAATATTTACAAAATTTGCTTATTTTACTAAGGGATAATATGCCAAATTAAATACCTATAAAACAATTATACTCGCGATTTAAACTTTATACAGCAAAACTAGATTAAATAAAACATTTTTTTAGTAGACATATAGTTGATGAATGAGTTTTACCTGATGGTACTTGGATGCTATAACCATAGAGACTTAGTCGGATCATAAGTTCTGTCAAAACCTTATTATTTAAGATTTTAGAATACTGGCTAGATGAACATCACGAATTTTAAAAATATAACGTTTGCGCTTGCCGAAAATATAATGACATTAATTTTCATTCAT